AGTGGTGGAGGCCAAAACCGTCAGTAGTTTCAAAGCGTTATATGAAAAAGAGTACTGGGTAGACGTGACACCACGAGCATAGCTCTTATCTTGTAACTACACTTAGGTAATTACACACAGGTTATATGGTGTGTGCTTGTGAGGTACCCACCTCATAGTGTGAGGTTAATGACCTCCTTATTTATACAGTATCTGAGTGACTGGAACTGTAATCATTAATCTGGTGAGTGAGAGATCATTCCTTGTTAGTGTATTATCCCATTTCCTGTGTTTAATAAATTTAATGCATGCACTTTGATTGTTCCTTGAGTCCCACCAATGCCAAAATACCGGCCCCATGTGGTCACTCTTGTGTTTGAAGTATTTATAAATGCTTATTGTTCTACATTCCAGGATTAAAGTAGCATACCTGTACTGTAAACAAGAAAGTAAGGACAGCTTTCGTGAGTTTGTACTCTAGAGTACAGCTTCCAAAACCGTGCCCTTACAATGAGTGGTCTGCAGGTGATGAGTCACAATAACGTGGCTGAAGTATGTTGACCAGACCACACACTAGAAATTGAAGGGACGACGACGTTTCGGTCCGTCCTGGACCATTCTCAAGTCGATTGTGATGAGGACAGGTAGGGACAGGCATTAAATAGGCAAGAGAGAGCTGAGAAGGAAAGTCAGGTGTAGGGGATAGTAGTAATGAGAACTGCAGCAGGCCTATTGGCCCATACGAGGCAGCTCCTATTATAACCACCGAAGGAGATAGTAATAGGAATAAGAAGAGGATAGCAAGGGAGCGTAGAAGACAATGAACAGAAAAAGGGAGAAGAGAGAAAGAAAGGGAAAGAGAAAGAAAGAAATGGAAGGGGGAAAGCTTATGTTAAGTCACGTTTGTTAGAAAGATTAGAGCATTTGAGTATATACTGTGAAAGGGAAGAGTCCACAGCAACAAAGCCAGGACTCAAGTTCAATTTCGACGAAAGACGACGAAACGTCGTCGTCCCTTCAATTTCTAGTGTGTGGTCTGGTCAACATGAGTGGTCTGTCCCAGGGCCCTTGGGTGCAGTTTTCCGGGCTCGTGGGGAATCTAATTAAAGTTCTTGGGTTCCTTTTTGACCCTTCATGGGCCCCTTGCACTCTCTCAGGAGGGATTCAAGAATACCCCACACCCTGTAACAGGGTGTGGGGTGTTCTTATCCCCCTTTCCTGTATGAGTTTGAGTTAGGCAGGGCTTTCCCTGTGGTTTGTTTCTGGGTGCCCCTGGGCACTTCGGATTCGTCCTTTCGGAGGTTCTTGACCTCTCGGGTTGTCCCTGCAGAGGCGCGGGAAGTACTTGGTCCTGCATGACCCGGTTTAGCCTCTGTTCTGGATGCCTTGGCGGCTGCCGATTTCATATCTGTGTGCACTTGGCTTCTGTCGTGCGGTTCTTGAGCCTCCTGGATCTTATTCTGACTGTCTTTCGGTGGATGTGGGAGCACTCAGTGGGATTCCACTTAGAGGATTTGTCTCCGCTGCTTAGGCGGAGACAGATTTCCTTGTTTTCACCTCAATTTCCTCTGGCCTTGTCTTCTTTGTCTGGTTGTAGTGGTGTTCGCTCTCTTTGGAAGACTGGCTCTTGGGGATAGCGGGGGCCCTTTCGTGGTCGCTCCTTTGACAGGGCGGTTGGGAGGAGGCTGGCTCTCCTTGCCCACACTTGGTCCCACAGTAATCTGTGGGAAAGTGTGGAAACCGGGTGTTTCGAGTTGTGTTTTGCGGCCTGCAGTGGCGTTGGCCCGTTCTCCACTATTGGAGCGTTCAGGTCTGGGGAAATGGCTGGCCTCTTCTCCTTCCCTTTGTCAAGTCATCTCGGAGTGGGTGCTTTTGGGTGTGTTCAAAACGGCCTTATTTCTTCGGTGGGTTCCCGCCTATTTCTAGTCCCGAGATAAGATTGCGCAGCAGACACCTCATTGTTTTCTCTGGGAACTGGGTACAGATTTTATCAGTTCTGCTCGCTTGAGTGGTAATTACTTAAGTGTAGATACAGGATGAGAGCTATGCTCATGGTGTCCCATCTTCCCAGCACTCTTTCACGTTCGGGGGGTGTCCATCGTCCTGCGGATGGCCTGTCCCGGTTCATTTCCATGTCCACGGAAAGGACAGTCGAGGCCGACTCATTCAGTTAACTCTGCCAGAGTCTGCTAGTCAAAAGGCCTGAGCCTTTTTCCCACCACCACCAGAACCCGCAGGTGGTGGCCCACCTATGTCTGTTCGGTGTTCGGGTTCTGACCTACCTCGACGACTGGCTGGTTTGGGCTCCCAACCGGTCCGTGTGTCTGCTCGCCAGGGATTTGGTTCTTTCACAGCTCGCCGGGTTCAGGTTCCTGGTGACCTGGCAGAAATCTCACCTGGTTCCCTCTCCAGTTCGGTCTTGGCTGGGTCTCGTATGGGGCGCTCAGACCGCTTCCTTGTTTCTGCCTCTGGCGGCTCTGCTTCACCTGCATTCCCGCCATCGTCTGTTCCTGAGGGGCTCCTGGGTCACGCGGTGGTTACTCGAGGGTTTGTGCGGGAGCCTGAACTTTGCCATGGTGGTCTACCCGCCTGGTCGGGAGTGGCTTCGTTGGCTGTTCTGATTCCTTCGGAGTCGACCCTCCTGCTTCTCTCGCGACCGCTGGGTTCGGCCTCCAGGGGCTTTGCATCGGTTGCTGAGTCGCCGGATTTCTCTTGGGTTTTTTCGAGGTCCAGTGCCTTGGCGCCTACCCGAGCCCTTGCTCAATGTGTTCACACATGTGTCGTCTCTGGGCTGGGGCTTTGTGACCAGTGCTCACCAGGCCGGCCTGGGACGGTGGGGGGTCCGTCCTTCCATCGGGCTCCCAGCACGGTACAGGAGTTCGCAGCTATGTGGATGACACTCCAGAGGGTTCGGGTCGCTTGTGGCTTGACGATACGGCTCCATTCAGCTGTTCTCCAGGTCCGGGCTCGCTTAGGAACTTTCCAGAGGAGAGTTGTCTGTCTGGCTCTTTGGTGGCCGGCCCAGCCTTGGTTCTGGCGCAGCTTGCTCGGTGTCCGAACCCGAGGGTCTTCCCGTGGCTCCGCCTCTTTCTGCAGATCGGTCCAGCCCGGTACGGGGATGGTTCGTTCTCCTCCTTGAGTCTTCATGTTTGGAGTTTCTGACTCGAGTCTATCATCACTTGTATGGGGCGCAGGTGGCTTCGTTGTTGGTCTCCCGCTAGCGTGCCTTTGTCTCGGTGGTAGTATGAAGTTCCTGGCGGTCCTTCTGGTTTTCGTATCATTGCGTTAGTGTACTTCGGTCTCTGATAGGGTTGTTTTGTCCTTTTGTGGTTGTTCCTGGACCGTCATCTTATGCTGAATACTGTCGCCTCGTATTGTGCGGCGATGGTGGAGCCGCTTCAGCTTGAGTTTGGTCGTGTTACTTCTGACCCGTTCTGCCAGCTGTCATGTGTGTTGTTTCACCTCCGGCCTGCTCCTGTGCCTTCGGTGCCGTCCTGGTCGTTGAACTGGGTGATTACTTTTCTCTCTTCCCCTTGGTTTGTCGTGGTCCCTTCGGTTCAGGAGTGTTTTTCCAGTTCTCTTTTTTTCCCTGTTGGTGTTGGCCTCTGGGGGTCGGTTCAGGGTGCTTTAGGCTCTCCTCTGGCTCAGGAGTTTTCTGCTGGTTTGATCCTGGTGGTAGTTTTGCTCGTTTGCAGCAGTTTCCTTTTATCTGGTGATGTGTGGGTCTGCTGCTTTCCGGAGGGGTCCTTGGGTTCTTGTTCTTTGGTTGATCAGGCCGGGGATGCATCATATGTTGTGTCGGTTGCAGCTCTCTGCTGTTCTCTGCGCATTTTGACCTCTGTGGCCGTGGGGGACACTTTGGATTGCTTGGGTTCCCTTTCTTTCTTCTGGTTTTGGGGTTTGGATCTCCAGGTTGTCTGTAGGGGCCTTTGGTTTGCCAATTGTCTTGTTTTTGAGTTAGGGCGCGTAGCTTCTGCCTTCCGGGTCCTTCCCTCTTTTCCTTATCTTTGGTGAGGTAGCTCCAGGGAGCTGACAGGGCTTTCCCCAGAAAATCAGCGTTGAATGTAATGAAACACCATTTTCTGGGTGAGACCTGGAGGCTCCCCGGCATCCCTCCCTCCCTCCCTCTGGTCGGCGGTGTTTTCGCCTATTTTTGCCATCCAGCCTAAGAACTGCCAGTTGGATTGCCAGCTCAGGGGGTCTGGAGCTCCTCCTTCCCCCCTCCCAGGGAGTGGGGGGGGGTTGCACAGACAGTGGGGTGGCAACATGATGACGCCATGCTAATTTGCTAGTTTACATTTGGGGAGTTCTGTCCACTCTTTCGGCTTTCGGTAGCAATATTTTCACCAGAATAGGGGGTTTGTTTTGGGGAGCCCACCTTTCTGGGTGCCTGACCCGGTCGCTCGCAGACATAGAATGCTTCCAACTACACGGTGTTTTCTATAGGTCATTGCTCCTCGTGTCTCTCTGAGGGGGCCAGGTTCTGGCTCGTGGTCCCCGGTAGGCAAGAACTCCATGCACTTTGACTGATGTCATAAAGCTAATAATTACATATCAGCCTGGATAGCTCCGGGGAGCCTTCGGGTCTCACCCAGAAAATGGCATTTTATTACATTCATTGCTGGTTTTATATAGTTTATTGGGTTGAGTTCTTTTGGCGAGCCTGAGGCATTGACGTTTCCATATAACAAGTAGCAGTCTGTTTTGTCTTGCTTACTTTGTAAGTGCTTCTCTGGGCATTGGGGACATGATTAAAATTCACTAACAATTTGATCATAGTGCCACTATTCTCTGCTCCTCTTTAGAGGGGGCCCTAGTTCTGGATCATGGTCTCTACTAGGCCTAAAAGAATTCTGCGATTGGTGGCACCTAGTAGTTAGGCACTGTATCAGCACTGTAGCCTCAGGGTGTCACTGGGGCTTACCCAGAAATTGGCATTTCATTACATACAATGTTGGGTTTTTATTCCTTATATAATAAGTTGTTTTGTTGAGAGGCTTTACAGAGTGTCTTTTTTTCAGTGGTGGTAAGCTATGGAGCCACATTAGGAAATATGTGTCAGAGGGACATGCAAACACTGATGATATGTTCAACAACTCCAGCAATACATACGCTGGCCGCCGACTGCTGCAGGAAACTACTGATCCAGATTGTCTAGCTTGTGATGCATTGTTTCTATGTGAAACCCCATCACTTTCATCCCACATATCTTCTCACCTGTCATCACCTCAGCCTTGTTCCCAGACAGCACCGTCCACCAACAATTTCCTCACCGTCCCTGATTGTGGTTCATTGGGAGGAAGTTCAGGATGTTCGGAGGCTTCCTCATCATGTTTTCCCAATGGTTATCTCCAAATCTTTTCAGATTATACTCATAGCTTACCGTCCTCTTCCTCAATGGTTCTCATACCTCCATTAGGACTTGGCTCCCATGTGGCAACAGTGCCGGTTCCTAAATCCAAGAGTGCCGGTGCCCTTGTCATTGCAGCAGAGTGTTCTAATGCCACTCGAGATGCTCTAGAAGATTCAAGATTATCAGCTAAAGAGGACAAGAATGTTCTTCAAGTTGGCATTTTGCTTAATGGAAATAGTTTAATAACTGATGAAGACAAAGTAAGTATTGGGAGTGACACACTGTCAGGAGTTAGTGAAGACTTCAGTTGTTCCATGGCAGTCAATATCCCAAATCTTCTTCCAGATCCTTTACCTCTTCCAGAAGTCAAAATTACTAATGAATCTAACCCTGAAATGAATTCAGATCTGATAAGTAAGGAAGATGAATCTCATTTTATGAAACCTAAGGGAGATAACAATGGTGAATTTCTATCTCAAGTCAATATCAGACATTGTAAGACTGAGCTAGTGCCGCAGAAGCATTCTGAGAAATGTGATGCATCAGTGAGATCTTCTACAACTGAAACAGAACAGCCACACATTGACAAACAAGGCAAGACCCAGCTCACGAGAAATGGGGGAAGAGAGCCTTTGTATTTAAGAGCAACAGACAATTATTTAGGAATAGACGATGAGAAAGATGACACTAGTATAACTGACACATCTTTTGCAAGTGTAACTCTCCCATCCTTTTCTTGGACTAAGCGGGATGATTCAGAGCTTGCATCTTTAGATATTGAAGATCTTATAAGAAATTCTAAACAACTATTACAGAATGTTGACTACACATTGCAACAGAGTAAGAGCCATGGTGCAACTACATTTCATGACTCTGATGATAGCACCTCTGTAGACCATTCAGAGCTTCCTTATGATGGGGATAGTATAGATTTTGATCAGCCAGATAAGGGTAAAACAATGGTATCCAAGATGGAAAATGAAAAGAAGATTCTACAAGATCAATACTTCTCCCATGTTTCAACTATTCCAGAATCTCCATCTTCTGCTAATCAGTCAGAGCTGAGTTTAGTCAGTCAAAAAATAAAAGCAACCAGCTTAACGGCTGTTAAGAGTGATAGCTTATTAATGGCCCCAAAGTGTGAAGTGGATCACAATGAAAGAAGTACATCCACTGACTGCATTGAATATCAGGGAGTGAGATCACACATACCTATTGTAAATCCAGGTGTTGAATCTACTCATGAGATCCAAGATACAATGGCTCATTATGAACAACAAGAAAACGATCATGTAAATAACAGTTTAAATTCATGTGAGGCACCAATAGAGAGTTCGTTAGCAGCCCTCCTTGAAAAATATTCTGCGAACCGAGGACATGACTTTCGACCAAGATTACCGGAAGGAATTGTGAAAGTGTGGTCATCTCAGATAATCTCAGCCATCACGGCACTTCACCAGCTTGGAGTTGTATGGGGGTGAGTTAACCAGGATTAGTTTTTTTATTTATAATTTATCACATGGAATGTGTGGTTTAATTTTCAGCTTTAACCCTTTAACTGCGCAGCCTTTAAATATGACACCCCCCCAGTGCGCAAGAAATAAATTCTTGGGAAAAAATCTTTTTTTTTTGTTCTGAATGTGTCAAAAACCCCTCCCTTTATATGGGTATAGCAACGGAATTTCGAAATTGTACTTAATTTGGCAGCTATGGGGTCTGAAAGGTGGGGCGTGACATCATCATTCCCTGTGCGCCCGTGCTGTATGCTCCCGGGGTCAGTGGGGCGCGCGAGTTGCCGCGAATATATTTTTGCACATTTTTTGCGCACATTTCCAAATACAATTTATTACATTTTACGTGCTGAACCAATGTATGGTGAACACGTACACTATATTATGGCACTAGAACATCCGTACTGTCCATAGACACTGTGTTACGTGCGTCACAAAAAGGTACACTTATCCTGCACTTATTTCTAATATATCACGCAGATATATTTATATGTACATTATATATACACACTGTACAGTATCACACACTATATACACACACTATACACACACTCAGTACTCCGCGAGTGTGTGATATGCTGCGAAGCAGCCAATAGGGCAGAGTGGCACCTTGCACTCCACGCACCAGGTGCTGATGCATCTACGCTTTTGTGGTCTGCGTGTGGTGTTCCTACAGACTATGCATGCACGTTTACCCTTCTTCCGTGATGCTGTGCCTGGCATATACTCCAGCATGTGTACCCCGAAGTTCTCATTACCCCGCAGTCTGTCTGGAGCTGCATGTGGCATTGTTGCTTGCACTCCGTGGGGTACTACGGAGCCCTCCTTGCCATACTTTACCAGCAGCTGTGACAGAACGCTGGCACTGAAGGTACGTATAGATGGTTTCCTGCCGGACTTCACCAGGTACGTATTGTAGCAGTTGAGCACTGCAACATCCATGAGGTGGAAGAAGAACTTTTTCGTCCACTTCACAGACCTGCGCACGCACTGCACACCACCAAGCATCATGTCACACTTATCGACGGGGCGCATGTTGACGTTATACTCTATGACACAGTCCAGCTTGTACATGGGGTTGCGTGTCTGAAATGGACCTTGCCAGTGTCCAACATTGCACCGGTGTGAATCGTCGTCAGCATATTCACTTCGCGTCTGTCCTTCCACCGCACTGACAGCATATTGTCCCACTTGCGCAGGTGGCACTCACCCACACCTATACACTTATACCTATACCGAACACTGGCATTTCCTTCCTGATGAGCTTCACAGTGCCACATACGCCGGTGTTGTGGGCGAGGAGGTATTTGGTCAACAGGGGGCTGTGTAATAGTTGTCGGTGAACAGTATATGCCCCTTGTTTAGCAACGGTTCCATCAGGGTTTTTACGACACTGCCGGAGAACCCGTGTTCATCTTGAACTGGTATGTCGACGTCTGTACCGGAATACAAGATCATGTCCAGGACGATGCCAGTCTCACAATCGCACAGCACGAAAAACTTCAGGCCAAAACGGTGCCGCTTGGAAGGGATTTACTGCTTGAATGCCAGTCTGCCCTTGAACAATACAAGTGACTCGTCGATAACGACATTCTGTCCAGGTACAAAATAATCCCTGAACTTCCCTCGCAGGTCGCTGAATACCTTGCGTACCTTGCACAGTCTGTCGTGTCTGTCTTCGTTTGCATTGTTTTCAAAATGCAGGCACCTCAGAATCAACAGGAACCTATCCCCCGACATATACTGGTTGAAGACGGGCGATGGAACAAGGCTGTCTTTGTTCCAATAGTCCTGGACGACAGCTTTCTCGCAGTGTTTCATCATCATACATAGTGCGAGAAACACGTACTGTACATCTTGTCGATTGTCGTATCCTTCCATCGCGTAAGGCGTGAAGCAGGTAATATGCCGCCGTCTACAAGGGTGTGTGCTTATGTGTTTGTCTCAGTCACAAGATGAGCCATGAAGACATTGTCGATATATGCCTGGAAATATTCCATGTCTGCCATATCATCACCGGTATACGGGAATAAAGCTGTAACACCAACGTCGGTATCATCAAACGTTGGTATTTGAGGGGCAAATGTGGCGCAATCCTCCCACACAAGTACACCAGGGGGTTTGGTGTTGGTGCCAACACCACGGCCAACACCACCACGGGCATCAAAACCACGGCTACGTCATCTGCTGCTGCTGCTGGAGCTGCATGAGGGTATGCTAGGCGCTGAGGCAGATTTCCGTACCATTGGCCTACCACGAACACCTGATGTTGAGGGCCCACTGTCGTCATGCTGGGAGACACGCTGCCGCCTGCCTCTATGTGTTGCTGAGGCAGCAAAACCCCGCCTGGTACCACCCCCACTGCTAGTACTGGGGTCGTTCACATTACTCGTATTGGAGCCAATGTCGCTGAACCTCGAGAAAGATTCGTCACATGTACTGTCACTGAATAATGAACTAGCATCTGGGGACATACATGATGGTGGTGACGATAACGGTGTTGACCCAGGGCGGCGAGACAGGCCGGACGAGGAGCGTGTACAGTACATGCTCGCCACATCATCCACTTCTGTTTCCCCCTCACTCGTATCAGACCTCTGTGTCAGATCTTTCTCTGGATCATAGTCCAGGTCATCATCCATAGCACCGTCGTCGTACAATATATCACGAATTTCCTCCTCAGAGAGTCGTTTTCCATGACTGCGGGTTGCCGTGGAACAGGAGCTCGTTGACGATGCGTCAGACATGGTTGCTGCTTGGGAACTGGGGCTCCCCACGGCCGTTGGGCATACTGGGATTTTTTTTCAAGATGGCGGACGATCACTGGGGCACCCAGCCATCCATTCCATACCCGCGTCACCACGCGCCACTTTTAAATTGGACATGAAAAATGCAAACACCCGCAGGCGTGTTGCACACCCCAAGCCTGGGCCTGCAGGCGCATTGCGCTGTTAAAGGGTTAATTCGTGTTTTTTGCTGTATGAATTTTTAACTAACACACAATGATGAGTAGATTTTCGTTTTATTTGGTGTAATGAAACAGAATCTTTTTAGCTAAACCAAGACTTAATCTTCAATTTCCTTGAAACCCTCTACTTAGTTAGGGTCTTCCTGCCAGTGAGAGTTATGTACCATAGGCAAGTTGGCAAGGCTGAGTGAAAGCAGTTTGTTAGGAGACAGTGAATGATTTTACATTTTTGTCAGTAACAACCTACATGGAACAGAAGTAGCCAACAGAGGGGGTAACCTATAGAGGGTTCCTCTTTTGTTGGCTGTTTTCATCACCGATGACCTAAGTACCCTTTCGCTCTTGGCTTCTCTCGTGCATTTCTTAATTCATTCTGCTTGGCTCTTGAAGGATGTTGAGACATTCAGTGAGGTTCCTCTTATGGGGTTTGTGGTCTCTGCAGCTTCAGCATTGGCTGCCATCCTGAAGCTCTGACCCTCTGGGAAGCAGTTTCCTTGTTTTCTGTGGAGAGCCCTGTCGGCTTCCTGAAGCTATTTGAACTGATATGTGCTATATTAATTTGGGGTCATCAGTCACAGGAGTTCTTATGCCTACCAGTAACCATGAGCCAGAACCTAGCTTCCTCAGAGAGGCACAGGGAGCAATGGTCTACGATCACTTTACATTTAAAGTACTGTAAAGTATGTCGTAATTGCTATCGACCAGGAAAGCACCCAGAAAGATAGGCAAAACAAAACAGACCACAATCTGGTGAAAATTACAACCTGCATCCGAACATAGCAGATCTCCCCCAGAAAGAAAACAAACAAGCAACACTTCATCCAACTAGCACTCCCACTCGTTAGCGCTACCCCTTTCCTTCCCTTCGGGAGGGAAGGGGGAGCCGACTAAAGTGAGCTGGCAGCCTATCACTTCAGTTCTTGATCTTGAACTGATGTGCTGGCAGTCAGCTCAGTCACCTCTGGCCTCAATTTCCTGTTTTGGATTTTGCCCTGTGTGGCTGTACCACCAGTGTGTGTGGTGGCAAGTGTCTTAGTGTACAGGAGCAGCATGCACCTAGGGTTATCTTCCCTAGGTGCTCCATGAGTACTACCCTTGCATTTCAGGGTTATGTTCCCTGGGGCATTTGGGAATCACTCCCGTTTGAGGATTTTGTCGCTCAGCAATGTCTTCACCCGTGGGATACATCGGGGGTTTTGGGCTTTCCGTCTTGTGCAGGGTATTATTAGCTGGGAATAGTGCTGCCCAGCTCAGCTTGCACACGCAGTGGCCGGCAGTCCTCTCTTGCTGCCAGTTTGTTTGTTGTGTGTCTTCAGAGGTTTTGTTTTTCTCTTCTAGCGTTTTAGCTTTTTGTTGCCGGAGGAGGTCTGCCTAGCTTTTTATAGGCAAACCTAGGTTGTGTTGTTGGTCCTCCTCTGTTGCCCCGAGATTTCACGGCTGCTACTGGTGGTCAGTTTGTCTGTTGACAGACAGACTAGCTCAGTGCCTGGGCTTCCAGTAGGGCTTACTCACCCTATGGGCCCTGGAAAATCCTAGTGGGCTCTGAGATACCATGTATGTGTCTTCCAAGCCCTCTCTCGCCTTGTGCAAAGTTGGAGGTTGTTCAACGCCCCTGCCTCAGGGAGATGATCTTCTTTACTACCTCTGTCATGTTGCCTGTTGGGTCGGTGACACCTACGACCCAGAGCTTGCAAGACTTGTTCCCTGCTTGTACTACACATTCCTCCTTCCTTGTCTCTTGATCTTAGGGACCAGGCAGTGGCTGTGTTGCATGCTCAATTCTCCTTATTGCAACAGGCTAGGTTGGTTTCCCTGTTTGAGGCCCGGGAGCTGCCCTATTTTGGTTTTGGGACCAGGATTTGGGGGCATTGGTAGCTTCGACCTTGGTTCCATCTGTACCCTGTTCCTCCTTCCGGGCCCCAAATGTCTGAGAGTTTGGGAGTCGGTTGGAGGTTTAGCTCGGGATGAGGCTTGGGTGACTTCGGGGGCTGCCCCTTCTGATTCAAGCATGGACATGGTTGCCCCAATTTTACTGCTAGGGTGTCTGAGTCAACCCACCGGACTCCCTTCTTGGAAGCTTTTTCCCTGGACTCCACCTTTTCTTCAGGGGTGGTGGGTGTGGATGAGGGCTCTGCCCCAGGGCCTTTGTCAAGGGAAGTCCACTTGGGGTTCTTGGGCTCCTTTTGACCCTGCTTGGGCCCTTGTGTCCTCTGGGCAGGTGTTGTTGCTGCAGGGGTGGGGTTTTTTGTCCCCTCCTTCCCTGTCTGAATTAGTATTCCCGTATTTGCCGGCATGGTTTATGTACCCTTGTGTCAGATGCATCCATCTTTTGCCTAGATGTTTTGTTCTGGAAAAAAACAGCATTGAACGTAATAAAACGCCATATTCTGGGTGAGCCCCGGAGCCTCCCTGGAACTATTGGACTGATGCACAAAGTCTGGGGCTTCAGTCAATGGAGTTCTGTCTATGGGGGACCATTAGCCAGAAGCCCCCCCTCAGAGAGGCACAGGGAGAAATGGCCTAAGGAATCCCCCCATGTATTTGGGGGTATTCCATGTTTGCTAGGCAGCCCAGAAAGGTAGGCATCTCAAAACAAACCCAACTTGGTAGAAAATTGCAAAAAACCCAAGACTGAACAGAGAAACAGACCTCCCAAAAGAAAACAAAGGAAACAAGGAAACGTCATTCACCGCCGCCCCTCCGCTTGTCAGTGCAGCTCCCAAGGAGGGGAAGGGGGGAACCCTGGACCCTTGCGCCGGCTGCCCACACCTGAGTTCGGAGGCTGAGCATCAAAAACAAAGCAAAACCGCTGACCAGAGGGAGGGAAGGATCCAGGAAGCCTCCGGGGCTAACCCAGAAAATGACATTTCATTACATTGAACGCTGGTTTTCTGTGGTGAGCCCCTTCGGCTTTCTGGAGTTATATAACCAAAGATAAGTAAAAAGGGAACATACCCGGAAGGTAACTGCACTGCGGGCCTCAACTCGAAGACAAGACAGCTGGCTGCAACCTGCGTCCCAAGGCAACACACATGAACGACTGGCTCTAGGAACATTCACCAAATAATGGGCGGCCAGGACCCTGTTTGACCTCCAAAACCCCTATGCCCGAATGTCAGCCCAAGACGTGTTCCTAAACACAGCGGCCAGAGCAGCATACTTACAAACATCACTGGCATGAGGGTAGACTGCAGGCTGGCTAGACTTAACCATTTAAGGGCACAAATTGTATACAGCAATACCTTGGTTTACGAATTTAATCCATTCCCAGAGACGGGTCGTAAGCCAAAACAAATTTTCCCATAAGAATTATTGTAAATTGAATTAGTCCGTTCCACACTCCCAAATATATTACCTTCAAAATAAATTTCATACATAATACACACAAATATTTTGTATAATAGTATTTACAAATTATAGCTTACCTTTATTGAAGACTCTCGTTGACGTTCGACTCCTCGCAGTGTTCAAGAGAGAACTTGATGAACACCTGCAAAGGATACCTGATCAACCAGGCTGCGACTCATACGTCAGGCTGCGAGCAGCCACGTCCAACAGCCTGGTTGACCAGTCCAGCAACCAGGAGGCCTGGTCGACGACCGGGCCGCAGGATCGCTAAGCCCCGGAATCACCTCAAGGTAACCAAGGTATGGAAGACGGTTAGGAGGGGGGGGGGGAGGAAAGGAGGAGAGGTATTAGTGTTTGGAGGGAAGTCCCCTTCCATTATAACATCAGGCAATGATGACTTCTCTGGGTACTCTCTCTCCTACGTTTTGCAGGCATTCCACTAGGACCTGGTTGTGGCTCACTGCTTGTTTATCTCAATAAGAACCTTTCCATAGAGACTTGCTTTTCCCTACATTTTAACACTTGTCTGTAGTGAGACACCACATTGTCATTAACCCTTTTGTTGCTATGAGCTTAACCCTTATGCTGCTATGGATTTAATCCTTATGCTTCTATGGGCCTATGGCCTTCAACACTGCTGCGCTCAAGAAACAATAAAATTAATAACAAAAATTTGTTTAATAAAAGTGTTCATTTGTGTTCCCCGACCACGGGAAAAATACCAAAAAAATCGTAGGTGACATATTTTGGGTGCAATAGGGCGAGGAAGTCTGGCAAAATGTAGGCGTTGACAAATAAAGCGTCGGAGGTGGTCAGCTCTGCCCAAGCTGTCAGGCGGGAGTTGCCACAAAGATATTATTACCTAATTAGTTCAATGTTTCTGATTGATTTTTTCTTAGTTTTCTGGGGGTGGCCCATCGGCTCCCCGGAGCTATCTAGGCTGATATGGATATATTAGATTTGGGCATCAGTCAATGTAATTACGTAAGTGTAGTTACAGGATGAGAGCTAAGCTCGTTGTGTCCCGTCTTCCCAGCACTCTTTGTCATATAACGCTTTGAAACTACTGACGGTCTCCTTCTCACTTAACTTGTTCCAACCGTCTACCACTCTATTTGGGAAGGTGAATTTTCTTATATTTCTTCGGCATCTGTGTTTAGCTAGTTTAAATCTATGACCTCTTGTTCTTGAAGTGCCAGGTCTCAGGAAATCTTCCCTGTCGATTTTATCAATTCCTGTTACTATTTTGTATGTAGTGATCATATCACCCCTTTTTCTTCTTTCTTCTAGTTTTGGCATGTTTAATGCTTCTAACCTCTCCTCGTAGCTCTTGCCCTTCAGTTCTGGGAGCCACTTAGTAGCATGTCTTTGCACCTTTTCCAGTTTGTTGATGTGCTTCTTAAGATATGGGCACCACACAACTGCTGCATATTCTAGCTTTGGCCTAACAAAAGCTGTGAACAATTTCTTTAGTATATCGCCATCCATGTATTTAAAAGCAATTCTGAAGTTAGAAAGCGTGGCATAGGCTCCTTGCACAATATTCTTTATGTGGTCCTCAGGTGATAGATCGTGCGGCGGTGGCGGTGCTGCTTCAGCTTGCTTTTGGTATTGATGTTACTTCTGCACCATTTCGCAAGCTGTATCGGGCGTTGTTTCACCTTCGGCCTGCTCATGCGCCGCCTGAGTTGTCCTGGTCATTGGACAGAGTGCTCTCTTATCTTTCTTCTTCTCAGTTTGTTGTGGCCCCTTCGGTTCAGGATTGTTTCTCCAAGGCTCTTTTTCTGTTGGCATTGGCCTCTGGGGGTCGGGTTGGTGAGCTTCATGCTCTCCTCCGGTGCAGGGGTTTCTGCTCTTTTGGTCTTAGTGATGGTTTTGTTCGTTTGCAGCTGTCTCCTTTTCTGGTGAAGAATGAGACTGCTGCTTTCTGGAGGGGTCCCTGGGTAGTGAATTCTTGGTTGGTTAGGCCAGGGGCGCATCGTGTTTTGTGTCCGGTTGCGGCTCTTCGCTATTATTTGCGCACCACGACTTTTGTGTCCGGGGACGCGCTTTGGGTTGATCCGGTTTCCCTTCTTCCCTCTTCGCGGGTGTGGGGTCTCCCTGGTCATCCACAGAGTTATTAAGGCTAGCCAGCCTGCGGTCTATTCCCCGTGCCCATGACATTCGTAAGTTCGCTGCTCATGCTGCCGTCTTTGGCAACATGGCATGGGCTGACATTCGGGCGCGGGGTTTTTGGAGGTCGAACAGGGTCCTGGCTGCTCGTTGCCTTGTGAATGTCCGTGAGCCTAGTCGGGCTTATGTCGCTTTGTTGGTGGTTGCAGCCAGTTGTCTCGACTTCGAGTTGAGGAGTGAGCAGCGACCACCTCCCGGGTAAGTCCCTATGTTTTTTTTACTCTGTGGGTAGTTAGCTCCGGGAATACGAAAGGGCTCTCCCCAGAAAACCAACGTTGAATGTAATGAAACACTATTTTCTGGGCGAGACCCGGAGGCTCCTTGGCATCCATTCCTCCCTCCGGTTGGTGGTTTTTCACGTGTTTTGACATCCAGCCTCAGAACTAAAGGGTATGCGAGCAGTAGAGCAACAGAAGTATACTTACATCGCATCAGGTTTGGATACCCATGTGCATGGGAAATAGGCTTACAGGTTCTGGAAAATGAGAGGAAATGTCAGCACTGTGGAGAAATGCCCAACAAACCTCTGGAACAATATCTAACACAGTGCACAGTTACATACCCATTAAGATTTCAACTTAGATTCAACAGAGCAGAAGAAGTTGTTAAACACATATGGCAAAATCTTACTGAAGCGACCATACGAGTCATAAATACTCATACTCCGTCCAAGTAAAACAGAAACAAGCAACACTTAGTGGGCCATCCAGAGGCTTAGGGCCCATGCAGGAATATCCCTGCAAAAAAACAAAAACAAAAAAAAACTAAAGGGTGGATAGCCGGCGTGTGGGTTCTGGGGCTCTCCCTTTCCCCTCCCGGGGAGGGGGGGGGGGGAGCTGCGCAGACAGCAGCGCGGCGACATGTGACATAATGATTGTTTGCTCATTTCGTTTAGGGGAGTTCTATCCATTTGTTCGGCTTTTGGTAGCAATATTTTCACCAGAATAGGGGCTTGTTTTGGGATGCTTACCTTTCTGGGTGCCTGACCCGGTCGATGGCAGACATAGAATGCTTCCAATCACACGGGGGGTTTCTATAGGCCATTGCTCCCCTTGCCTCTTCTGAGGGGGCCAGGTTCTGGCTCGTTGTCCCCAGTAGGCCCATTGAACTCCATACACATGACTGAAGCCAAAGTCTGACATTAGCATATCAGCTTAGTAAGCTCCGAAGCACCTCCGGGTCTCACCCAGAAAATGGCATTTCATTACATTCAATGCTGGTTTTGTATATCCCATCCACAGTAGCTATAGCTACTATCATTTTAGATGACAGGTTGGAATGTTAATTTAAATGGTGACATTTCTTAAAATTTTAAGATTTTTAATTTTTTTTCATATTTCTGAGGTAGGAACTGAAAATATGTTATTTAGTTATTGTAAAGTGACTGAACCATATCTAATTTTGTTCTAATTCATAGTCATATGTCACTTTACAGGGACATCAATTCTGACAATGTTCTCCTCGATGAAGGTGGCAGCATTCTAGTTACTTACGAGAGTCGTTGGTCTTCAGTGCAACGTAACGTGTGGAGTAAGAAGTGCTGGAAGCATCTAGGTGGCCAGTATAAGATGGAGGAAGCAGCAGCTCAACAGCAGAAAATGGGATCCTTGGCTCCAGAGCTAAGGTCCCCTCTAGCACATCCTACTACAGCATCTGATTGGTGGTCTGTTGGTGCTATAATGTACCACATGCTTACTGGACAGGTTATTGAATATTTACTTCTTTGGTTAACACGAACCCTTCATCCCTTATGATAGAGGAGATTAGCATGGGATGTCATGTCCACTGTCATGTTCCCACAAATGGCCAAAACAAACCAGATTTTCCCCACACCTGCAAGGCCCACTAGTAAGCATAGACAAGCATGAATGACTGTTGAGAATGAGGAATGAATGGTTCACATACTGAGTGATGGTACATTGTATGTACCTGTTACAACTGGGGGCTTGTTTATGGCTAGTAAAAATATAGGATAAAAATGCACACGATAGTGTACATATTTGTGAAATTTCTGTAAAAAAATTACACCAAGTCTTTTGCACTCTCCTGAGTGCTTTGTCAAGGTCTGAGTATGTGGTTTAGAGGAGACTTACATTTCAACATCTAATGAGGCTGCTACCCTAGGTCCACTCTTTTTATCCTTCTTGAATTTCTGACCATGTCACCTCTATTCCCGACTGCCGATGCACCTGTGGTAATGCCTTCTTTGGAATTTTCGTGTCGGGTATCCTCTCTGTAATCCTTATATTCTGAGAACTAGAGTTGTTATTAATAGAGATATTCATCTGGATGCTCTCCCTCATAACCCTCTCCATGCCTCAAGGAATGCGGCTAATGTTACTGTTTACATTTGTCCATTTAATGAGATCTAATTTTAATTCACTTAGAATCATTTTCCTAGTAAAGCTATCCTCCGAAGTAAAGCTTTTGTTACTAGCGAAAGTATTCAGAGTATTTATTAGATTCCCTTCCACTACCCTTCTACTACCCTCCTAGTTCTAATATTATTACTTCTATAGATTATTTCACATTTCTTAAAATCAATATTGTGATCCTTTTGTAACACCAGTTGATGTTGTTGTAGAATGATTAGGATGTTGTTGACTGGGGATGGTCGAAGGTTACTCGGTAGTGGGCAGGAATTGGAGTACCAAACGTTCACTGCTTTTCCTTAGTTTATTATAAAAGTATTGTGACGGTAAAGTGTTGGAGTGTTGATGTTCGGCTGTTTCAATAGCTGGGGGCAGGGCCTCGTCACATTACAGAAAAAAAAAGAAGATCGTTTGTCTGTGGTAAGGTAATGGGAAGACACACAAAACACAAAGTATAAACAGTGAAATTTTAATTACTCCAGAAAACAAGATATGAATAAAGACAATCTCTTGGCTTACGTAAAATTCAAAACAAGTCAACAAACAAAACAACATGAATAATTAATGGCAGTAAAAATTTACTCTAAGACAATAAAGTGCAAGTAATAGTAATATAAATCAAGTGCTGAGAATACTGGCTTCAAGCTGCCACCTCTCTTAGTACACGACAGCCAGAGCTTTGTCTACTATAGAGAGATGTCAACTCCAAGGAGCACAGAGATATTCTGAGGAGTACGGCGTGTGCTGGCCCAGACGTCGACTCAGGTAGAGGCGTGAGTGCAGGTGTGGCGACCCACCAGCCAATCAGGAACAGGCAGGCGGAGAATGAGTAGTTTGCTGGTTTGACGGCGGGCGGGAGCCGGTGTGTCTGGTGGTGCAAGGTACGCTTTGCTTCCTGGGCAAAACGTTTGGCGATACTGGTGGACGTATCTTCAATATAGTATCTTGTACTTGAATGACGTAAATGTAGTAGGGAAGAGCAGGCTCAATCTCTCTTGAAAGAGATTATCATCACAGTATATATCTTCTACACTGGGCCAGGATCTAGAAGCTAGGAGTGTGTGTGTGTGTGACGCTCCGTTGCCTAGGGCTGTCTCTGAAGGTCTGAGGGCTGCAGGGCGCAGGGCTACGCTGTGTATTCAGATCTGCTGACAACATTGTTGATACCTATTAAGTTGTTTAGTGCCGGCTATCATCAGAAGAGGGTATTAAGTCACCCCATGTGTGTGTCCATGGCACGTTCACTGGCGCCTAACCGTCGTCCAACACCGCTCGGCACGCTACCATCGGCATCCTCGGCGATCTGCTTGACAAATTTGACAACCCTTGGGCGTGTACCTAACTAACATTATATACAGAAAAACAATGATTTACCTATAGTGGCCGTAAACAAACAAGCTTATTTTCTGGGGGGAGCCCCGTCGGCTCCCCGGAGCTTTACCGGCTGATATGCTAATGTCAGACTTTGGCATCAGTCATGTGTATGGAGTTCTAGGGCCTACCGGGGACCACGAGCCAGAACCTGGCCCCCTCAGAGAGGCAAGGGGAGCAATGGCCTATAGAAACCCCCGTGTGGTTGGAAGCATTCTATGTCTGCCATCGACCGGGTCAAGCATCCAGAAAGGTAAGCATTCCAAAACAAACCCCTATTCTGGTGAAAATTGCTACCTAAGCCGAACTAGTGGATAGAACTCTTCAACAGAAAACAAGGAAACTAGTATGACGTCATACGTCACCGCGCCGCTGTCTGCGCAGCTCCCCCCTCCCCGGGAGGGGGAAGGGGGAGCCCCAGACCTCCCACGCCGGCTATCCACCCATCAGTTCTGAGGCTGGATGTCAAAATACGCGAAAAACGCCGACCGGAGGGAGGGAGGGTTGCCGGGGAGCCTCCGGGTCTCACCCAGAAAATGGTGTTTCATTACATTCAACGCTGGTTTTCTGGGGGGAGCCCCGTCGGCTCCCCGGAGCTAACTACCCACAGAGGAAGGTCAAAGGGACAAAACCGGGAGGCGGACACCACGCACCCCCCAAGGAGGCGAGACAACCGGCAGCAAACGCCAACCCAAGGCGCCACAGCCCCGAAAATCCCGGGAACGACACGAGAACCACGAGAAGCAAGGCCCCTGCACGAACACCAAAAATCCATGCCCGAAAGACTGCAAGGCCACGTCGCCCAGACGGCAGCGAGAGCAGCGAAGCCACGAACGCCACAGGCATGAGGGAAGAACACAGGCAGCTTAGCCGCAAGAACACGGCTGACCACCCGGGACACCATCACCCGCGAACCGGGAAGGACAGAACCGGATCAACGCAAAACGCGCTCCGGACCCAAACGCCGTGGCACGCAAACAACAGCGGAGGGCCGCCACTGAACACAAAAACGACACACCCCCGGCCCGACCAACGAAGCATCAACAAACCCTGGACCCCTCCAGAATGCAGCAGCCCCACCCCGCGCCAGAAAAGATGGAGACTGCTGCCATCAAACAACCAAAACGCTAAAACCGAAGGAGCAAGAAAACTCAGCAAACCAGACCTCCCACGCCGGCTATCCACCCATCAGTTCTTCGGCTGATGCTATAGGCAATGGTTATGTGCTCCGGCTCCAGTGGTTGTTTCAGCACTGTACCTAGAGTGTGGTGTCTGTTTTCTAGGTGGTGCGTGAGCCGGGAGTGATTCTCCAGTACTCGGGCTGCATGCGCCTAGGGTTCCCTTCCCTAGGTGCCCTGTAAGTACTGCCCTTGGGGCTTGGGGCCACCTTCCACAAGTTCCTTGGGTCCTGCCCCTGCTTGGCCATTTACTGCTTGGTTTTCGGCCGCTCTTTGTGTGCTCGGGTGTTCTGTCTCCCTTGTTCGCCTTAGAGTAAGGGGCAGTGTTTGCATTGGTGGGGCGCGGGGTACTGTGCAGCTTGTCTTTACCAATCATAGCGGCCGGCTCTGTTCCGCTTGGGTACGCTGTCCTCTTGCTGGGTTTTCTTTTTCTTTTTGTTTATCTACCTGGTGGGGGGATCTGCCTTCGTTCTTGCCCCTTGTGTCCCTTGTGTTCTGAGTATTTTCTGGTGGTACCCCCTGCTAGGTCCCCGTGAGTGTACACGTCCCGGGGGTCCAGCTCTTAGAAAGTTGTTTGGTAGCTTTGGGTGCCGGTTAGCAGTACCCTGCCTGGGATTACCTGAGCGCGAGTCCTCTTAAAGTAAACGCTCGGGACCCTGGGAAACCCCTGGGGGCGCGCGGGTCCGATGGATGTGACCCCAGAGTCCCCCCCTCGCTTCCAGCGAGTTTGAGGGTTGCTCTCACCTTTTGTCTCTGGGTGACTCTCTGTTTTGCCTCCGTCTGCTGCCTGTGGGGTCGGTGACACCTTCGACCCGGAGTCCTGCGAGTTTGGTTGCTCGTTGTGGCTCGGTTACCCAGTTGTGCTAACAAAGCGGGTGCGGGCAGCAGGGGCGTTGCACTTGAGCCTTGGTGGTGGCAACGTTCTCGTGGTTTCCTCCCCGGGAGCCCCGGGGCTGCCCCGTTGTAGTTCGTTTTGGGACTTGGGGGTGTTGGTTGCTTCGGTTCCATCCACGCCCCCTTGTCTTTTCCCTGGTTCACCCTTCCTGCCTGCATCCGGTTCCTTACCGTCTGTAATTACCTAAGTGTAATTACCTAAGTGTAGTTACAGGATGAGAGCTACGCTCGTGGTGTCCCGTCTTCCCAGCACTCTTTGTCATATAACGCTTTGAAACTACTGACGGTCTTGGCCTCCACCACCTTCTCACTTAACTTGTTCCAACCGTCTACCACTCTATTTGCGAAGGTGAATTTTCTTATATTTCTTCGGCATCTGTGTTTAGCTAGTTTAAATCTATGACCTCTTGTTCTTGAAATTCCAGGTCTCAGGAAGTCTTCCCTGTCAATTTTATCAATTCCTGTTACTATTTTGTATGTAGTGATCATATCACCTCTTTTTCTTCTGTCTTCTAGTTTTGGCATATTTAATGCTTCTAACCTCTCCTCGTAGCTCTTGCCCTTCAGTTCTGGGAGCCACTTAGTAGCATGTCTTTGCACCTTTTCCAGTTTGTTGATGTGCTTCTTAAGATATGGGCACCACACAACAGCTGCATATTCTAGCTTTGGCCTAACAAAAGTCATGAACAATTTCTTTAGTATATCGCCATCCATGTATTTAAATGCAATTCTGAAGTTAGAAAGCATAGCATAGGCTCCTTGCACAATATTCTTTATGTGGTCCTCAGGTGATAGTTTTCTATCTAGAACCACTCCTAGATCTCTTTCTTTATCAGAATTCTTTAAAGATTTCTCACATAATATATAGGTTGTGTGGGGTCTATGTTC